GTCCCTGCCCGGGGCAGGGGTTGGAGCTGGAGGAGCTTTAAGGTCCCTTCAACCCAACCCATTCAATGAGCAGTGCTGTAGACACGAGCATGTTGTGCCTCTACAGAGACAGCTTCGAAGTGGGTGCAGCTGAGCTTGAGATGTTTCCAAGCACTTCCCCTTTGGGCTTGTGCTCTTGAGGAAGAGTAGCTCTGTCACCATCCCCTGGCCTGCTGTCTCCCTGTGCATTTTTGACTGTTATTTTATGCGGCATCGTCATATTTCATGGGAGCAGCTACGTGTCCTCCCCCAGCCCCAGTGGTTCAGTGGGACAGCCGCGGGCTCTGCGGGAGATCAGCTGTGCTGAATGGGGGGAGAACTAACCCTGTAAGGTGGTTGTGAAGTGGAAGGAGTGATATTAAGCTGCGAGCAGGTTAGAGCTGGACTGAAGTCCGTCAAGTTCATTTTGGTGCAGTCATAGAAGTGTTTAACTGCTTGAGAGGGTGAAGAGGGATGAGGAAAGGAGGAGGAGAGGGTTGCTCTCTGGAGTAAGGTGGGTAACAGTAGCTGTACTCCTTATTACAGCTTCCTGCCACTTTCTCCCTCTGCTGCAAAACATTCTCTCCTTTGTGTGCAATAAAAGTGCCTTCTTCAACCAGCAGCATCCCCACCTCTTGCCTCGATACTGTTGATTTGGGGTTCAAGCAGCCTGAGCCTGTCTGTGGGAAGCGGCTTTAATAATCATTTATTAAACCCCGTTTCAGCACCAGGATGTCTCTTGCTGCCTCCTCCCCTGTTTCAGGCTGTGGTGGTTGCTTAAGATGCAATGTTAGCTGCAAAACAAACCTGTTTTGGTTGGGAGGATGGAGCTGGGGAAGAGATGCTGAGCTCCCACAACTCCTGTCCCTGGGAATGCATCCTGGTGAATGCTGTGCAGCAGGACACTGACCCAGGCACATCCCTGGTGCATGAAATAACTTGTATCTCAAAAGCACGGGGCAGAAATGTCAGGCAGCTGTGAGGAAGTTCATACCCAACTCTTAACCTAGGAGAAACACTGGCCAGGTTGGACACAGGGGCTTGGAGCAACCTGCTCTAGTGGAAGGGGTCCCTGCCCGGGGCAGGGGTTGGAGCTGGAGGGGCTTTAACTTCCCTTCAACCCATTCCAATGATGTTTCAATGTCCAAATCTCTCATGGCTTGGGATACATGTGCTTGTGTTACTCATGGAGCTCTGTTTTGCAGCGACAGGGGATTGGAGAGCCCAGCGTGTACCACGCCGTGGTGGTGATTTTCCTGGAGTTCTTTGCCTGGGGGCTGCTGACCACGCCAATGCTAACGGTGAGTGAGGTTCCCTGGGGATAATCCTGCCTCTTGTGGACAAGAGACCCCCCTGGCCAGAGATCTTAACACAGAGCCCTTGGAGTCTGGGGGGTAGAAAGCCAGATTTGTACCTGGAAAAGCTGGAGCAATAGTGATTTTTTCAGGGAGTTGGGCAGTGGTTTTTGTGCTTATTGTAGGTTAACTTGGAGCAAAGCATGGGTTAGAGGTTTGAAAGCTTATTTAGGGATAAAAGAGGGGTTTGTGGAACTGCCACTGTCATTCTCTGGGGCATCAAAGCACAGAGACAATTTCCTGGCTGTTCCTTCCGATGCCAAGTCATGCTCCTGCTGGAGAGCCAGGGGCTCGTCTGGGGTTGACTGAGGCCTCATTAATACAGGCAGCAATAAAGTGAAGTGTGGAGGGAGAGCTCTAATAAAGCAGCTGAAAATATCAGCTTGGATATTTAAGCCTTTAGTTAAGGAGCTGTAAACTCCTGATGGGGCATCTCTCAGCTTCTTCAGTTCAGTTTCTGGTGGTCATTTGCCAGCACACCTTGAAGTGTGTATGTTTGACCTGATCTCTGATTTCTGGGTAAATATGCAAAAGGAGTCTTTGGTTATCCTGGAATGGGTTGGGTGGGAAGGGACCTTAAAGCTCATCCAGCTCCAACCCCTGCCACGGGCAGGGACACCTTCCACTAGAGCAGGTTGCTCCAAGCCCCTGTGTCCAACCTGGCCTTGAACACTGCCAGGGATGGGGCAGCCACAGCTTCTCTGGGCACCCTGTGCCAGCGCCTCAGCACCCTCACAGGGAAGAACTATTCCAGGCTTCTCCCTGCCAGGGGCTTTGCACAAGCTGCTACCTCTGTTGCTTTGGTTTTGTTTTCCCCAGGTGTTACACCAGACTTTCCCCCAGCACACATTCTTGATGAACGGCCTGATTCATGGAGTCAAGGTAAGGAATATTCCTTCCAGGCTTTCATCTGAACCAGCCAGTGTTTGAGAGGTGATAGTCACAGAACACCAGCTTGGAAGGGACCTCAAGGATCATCTGGTCCAACCTTTCTAGGCAAAGCATGACCTAGACTAGATACATGTTCATAGAATCATAGTTTGGGTTGGAAAGGACCTTAAGATCATCTAGTTCCAGTCCCCTGCCAGTTTGGGATGCTACTGGCAAACCAAAAGCAAAATGAAGAGTCAACAAAGTGTGGACAGTGGGTAGCTGGTGCAGTTGATTTTACTGAGCAGTATTAACATGCTGCTTGTCAGCCTGGGTTTGGGGCTATAGCAGCTGTGTGTCTCAGCTGCAGATCCTGCAGTCAGCATGAGATCAGCCCTGGATCCATGTTCTGGAGCGTCACAACATGGAAAATCAAAGACATCTGAACTCAGCAGTAATAGAAGTTGGAACTTAGGGGGCTCTCCCTGACAGAAGGTGGGGAGTGTCTCACAGCACGGGTTGGGACGAGACCAGCATTCCCAGAGGAGAATTGAAGGCAACTATAATGACCAAGCAGTTGGGAATGTGGCAGAACAGCCTGTTAGACCCTGGCTCTGCCAAGAGGGTCTCGGGGAGATTTGGTTCCGTGAGAGCTGGGTGCTTCCACACGCACGTGAGGGCTCTTCCTTGCCTGGCTCCATTTGAAAGGCATGGAACAGTTTTACTTGTGCTTAATGGCTTTGGCATCTCGTCAGGTCTGTCATGGCTCTAAAAGAGAGAGCTTTCCCCAGAACTGCAGCAGATGCTCATGGGATGGAGCTGTGCCAGCATCTCTTCAGGTACTGGCAGGGCAGCTCCCCATGCCTGGGGGTGGCCACGGCCGCAGGCAGAGCAGTCGCACAGGACTGGAGGGTTTAAGCACTGAGCTGCTTGAGGGGTAGGTTTTGACCCCTAAAAGGATGGGAGCAGTTTAACAAAGGGTTCTGTGATTGCCTGCTTGTAGGAAATAGGACTAGATTGTCTCCTCACACTGGTAGCTGAGTGTTGCCAGAAGCTCTTGCTATCGACAATCAGAATTTGACTGAGGGATTTCTCTCTGTCATCCTGTCTGTCTGTCTTAGGGTCTGCTTTCTTTTCTAAGTGCCCCACTGATTGGTGCTCTCTCTGATGTCTGGGGCAGGAAATCCTTCCTCCTCCTCACTGTCTTCTTCACGTGTGCTCCAATTCCCCTGATGAAGATCAGTCCGTGGTGAGTTGTCTCCTGTTATAACCGAGGGGTTCTGAGGAGAGGAACAAGCGTGGGACAGAGCGATGGGGGATTCGTGGGTGTTGCATTTGAGGATGCTGGAGTTGTCCACCCGGTGGAGAATGATGCTCAGCCTAGAGACTCATTTACTTGCCTGGTTCTACCAGAGGATTCAGTGTTAGGAAGAAAGAGTCTTCCCTGGAGCCCGTTCTCCTGACAGGCTCATTGTCGCTATTCCTGGTGTTTCTGGTGCAGAGAAGGAGGGGGACCTGCAGGAGCTGTGCACTGGGGTGAGGTTGCTCTCTAACTCCGTGGCACGGTGTGTTTCAGGTGGTATTTTGCTGTCATTTCCATGTCTGGAGTCTTTGCTGTCACCTTCTCTGTGATTTTTGCCTACGTTGCCGATATCACCCAGGAGCATGAGCGCAGCACGGCGTATGGCTTGGTAAGGAGCTGCACAACTGCTTTGTCTCTTGGAACAAGTATCTGGGGCTTTGCAGGTAGGAGAGGTACAAAATGAGGTGAGAGATTGATTGTCAAGCCTGAGGACACTATCAGGAAACAGATGATATGTGCTTCAGTGGTAACACAGCCTCCCTGTCGCTCTGTGTGTGATTTAGCACTGAGGGAAAAGGCTCAGAATCACAGAAGCAACCAGGTTGGAAAAGACCTTTAAGACCATCAAGTCCAACCATTCCCCAGCATTGCCAAGGCCACCACTTACCCATGGCACTGAGGCCCTCCTCTACATGGGTTGTGAACACTTGTTTGCTTGTTTCTCTGCAGTGGGAATACTGGCTGTATTGTTGCTCAGCCTTTAAACCAGCCTGGGCGGGAGCTTCTCCAAACCAGGCTGGGATTGCACCCCTTCTATAGGGCTCCTGAATTATTTGGACAGCTTTAATTTCCCTTTGCTGGATTGCATCCAGCCAACATGTCACCTTTCTGTCTTTTACCTGCATTAGCTTCAGCAAAGATGGCAAAATTCCTACGCTGGGCTTACATAGGAGGAGAAAACAGGCTCTAGGAAGGAGAGGCTCATGAATACTCATGTTTTCTGCTTCCAGGTGTCAGCCACGTTTGCTGCTAGTCTGGTCACGAGCCCAGCCATCGGGGCGTACCTCTCCCAGGCCTATGGTGACACGTTGGTGGTGGTGCTGGCTTCAGGTGTGGCTTTGCTGGATATTGCCTTCATCCTGCTGGCAGTGCCGGAGTCGCTGCCGGAGGAGATGCGCCCGGTCTCCTGGGGAGCTCCAATCTCTTGGGAACAAGCAGACCCATTCGCTGTAAGTCATCTTGCTGCTGCTCTTCCACACTTTAGTCCTTCTATTTCACTTGAGTTCTCTTAATCTCTCTCAAAAGGAAGAGGCATTCCACAAAAGGGGAAGGATGTGCGAGGCTCAGATTAACCTTGTTGAAGGTACCATCTCCAGGTTGCACACCCATAAAGCTACCCAGCAGCTTCCAACCCTTTTCCTGTAGCTACAAACCATGTAAAAGCAGCTCCAGGTGTCCAGAAGCAAGAGCATCTCTTGGTGTTTGAGTATGAATTCCATTACTTAACAATTGGTACTGCATCAGGAGAAGCCTTTTGTGTTCTGGCTTCTCAGGACCTTGGCTGAGGACGAGGAGCTTTGCAGTGCACCTTTGCTGGCTGGCTGAGGAACAAGCAATTCTGATCAAAAGCACCTGGCTATAAGTCTAGGAGAGGTTAAAGCTCCTCACTGTAGGGTGTGAGGTGGTGCAGTTGTACATCAGGCTGGCATGATCTGGCAGTGTTTGCATCTTCCTCCAGGATGCTGCTCTGGTTTCACTTCTCAGATGTAAGCTGGTGACTGAAGCTCTTGGTTTTGCTGTCTCTCTACTTGGAGAACAGTTCATGATGTTTACTCTCCTTTTTCCTTGAACTGATGTCATTCCCCACTCCTCTTCCCTACAGTCCTTGCGGAAAGTGGGTCAGGATTCTACAGTGCTGCTCATCTGTATCACCGTCTTTCTCTCCTACCTTCCCGAAGCCGGCCAGTATTCCAGCTTTTTCCTGTACCTGCGACAGGTCAGTCTCTTGCCATGACGTGAGGCTCTGAATGCAGGAGATCCCAACACGAGCACCTTGTGCCCAGGCAGCCAAAAAGCCAACAACATCCTGGCCTGTGTCAGCACCAGTGTGGCAGTAGGGCCAGGGCAGCGATTGTCCCCCTGTGCTGGGCACTGGTGAGGCTGCATCTCAAATCCTGTGTCAGTTCTGGCCCCTCACTGCAAGAGAGACATTGAGGTGCTGGAGGGGGCCAGAGAAGGGCACCGGAGCTGGAGCAGGGCCTGGAGCACAAGTGTGATGGGGAAGGGCTGAGGGACCTGGGGGGTTTAGTGTGGAGAAGAGAAGGCTCAGGGGGGACCTGATCGCTCTCTGCAACTGCCTGACAGGAGGATGGAGCCAGGAGGGGGCTGGTCTCTGCTCCCAAGGAACAAGGGATGGGACAAGAGGAAACTGCCTCAAGCTGCGCCAGGGCAGGTTTAGCTGGAGCTGAGGAACAATTCCTTGCCCAGAGGGTGCTCAGGCATTGGA